CTTAACACAGTCATGCTGACCTTTAGTCCACATCCACAGCTCAGAAGTTTTGACAGTGGTCAAAAAAATTTGGCAGAGACAAAATGTCTTGGAGATACAAAGTCCCTAGAAGGTTTGTGGGAGTTTGTGGATAGGTAGATTACACTGTCTTCATTCCCTCTCAAGGCCACCAAGAGGAGTCACACACCCAGCTGCCAAGTCTGATGCCAGCAGCTATCCAAACATGATCTACCCAGACTAATCTTGTCTAAATGACAATCCAACAGGCTTGGGGAGGCACCATGGAAGAGAGATTGGGAATTACAGGGAGGTCACAGGGACACAGAAGAAAGCCAGGGTACTGTGACAGGCAGAGCCCAGAAGGTACATGGAGGAGCTGCTGGTACCATGACAGAGATCAGGGAGACACACCAGGAGCTGGAAATGCAGCACTGGCTGTAATGGGAGCATCATAGGACATGGGTAGGAGATTGGGATTGCTGTGGTGAGGAAGTCATTAATCCTTGGGGCAAAAAAAAAGCATTATTGGTTGTGCTGCTTGTGAAACAACTTCTATCAATGTTGCATCATGTACTTTAAGGTGTGGTTGGGCACCAACAAGGAACCCAGCACCCATTTGCCCATTTGGCACAGCCAAAGAGTGGATGTGGATGCAAAGTCCACATGGAACACTAAACAAGTTAAACCCAATGTCCACACCGTTGCAGAAATACAAAATACATGTGGGCATCTCACCTGGACTGTTAGCACTGTGCATCTGCTGTGCTCGGAATGGGATGAACCCCACGACACACAGTGGTGGAGTCAGGATACCTTTGGGAAGCTGAGGAGGCAGGGACACGTCAGCTGCTATTCCCTGGCAGCCAGGGCAGCCCAGGTGCAGTAAGTGCAGGCAGCCACAGGGACCTCGCAGCAGATGGAGAGGACAGCGGCCACGGGGAGGGCTCTGCTGCTCCTCAACACAATGAGCTTGGTCGAGAGGGACTGAGCAGGATGGGGAGCACAAACAGCTCTCCCTGCACTGCAGGCAGGCTTTAACAGCCAGCCCAGGCACAGTCTGTGTGTTCACCCAGCCCATCTGCCTGGTGATATCTGGGGCAGCAGGGGCTCATCACACTGCCCATACTGTCACTATTCCATGTCTCACCTACTGCTCTTCCAAAACAGAAGGATGTAGCCCTGCTTCCCCACATGTCGCTGCTGCTTCATGGTCATTCAGGCAGCTGCACTTGCCCTTGTACCGGGCAGCTGAAGGTTTGCTCAGCCTCAGCACAGCCGGTGCTCTGCCGTGGCAGGCTGGGCTCATCTGAATCACTGCCCACAAACACCACACAGCCACCTCACCTGCCCTTGGAGGCAGGGTACAAGGCATATATTACCTCACCCGGACACTGCAGACAAAATCCAGATATTTTGATTCTGCCTCTTTGGTAGGGCATCAGATATGTTCCTCCAGGCTCCTTGTCCTCAGTGCCATGTCTCAGAGGCACTTCAGTACCTCATCATTTCTGCTTCCTCAGGGGAACCACACGCCCGTTTTCATCAGCAGACCTGAGCAGGGTAGTGGCACTCATCTCCTGTACTTGCATCAAGCAGCATCTCTCTGAGCAGAGCACCAAACATTTCAGGAGATGGGTATCAGCTTCAGCCCCAGGGTTCATCAGGACCATGATCCTCACTATGGTTTCTCATTTTTTTGTCATTCACAGTAGCTCACAGGGGCATAAAAATCCACTACCTCCTGGAGGAGGCACTTGGCACTCACTGCATGGTGAGGCCACCACCCAGTGCACTCAGGGTTTATATGCCCATGCTCCAAGAGATTCACAACGACAGAAAAACCCACCCCAGCAGGGAAAATGAACAGATGGATAACTGCTTGCTGAAGAGGAAAATGTTGAGACAACTGGGTGCCATGGCAGTTCATATTCTTTCTTTGATCTCAGCAGTATCTTTGTACTGCCTATAGAAAGCAAAGAGGAGAACAATAAACCTTTATGCTAAGCCAGTGACTTTCTCAAATTCACTTTCCTGCTCTGTAGTGGGAACAGAGGATTGAACCCCAGCCTGCATTAATATAAAAACAAACAACAGTAGAACTTCATAAGCGATGAAGGTTGCATTTCCAGGCATTTATTTGCTTTTGCCTCTTAAGAGCCTGTCTATGCACTGCATAGGAGTCTGTTGGAAGCACCTCCAGTACAAGTCTTTACTCAGTTTGTCTAAACTCTTATCAGGATAAACAGCAGGAATAAGCAGCATTTCATCCACTTGGCCTCATCACCATCTTCTTATTTGTTCCCATGTCAGATTTTGGAAAAACTCAAAGCAGTTTGCCCCAGAGTTCAGAAGATTCAGGCCCTGTTAATCCATGGCTAAAAACAAATTTCAGAAGAAAGGCCCTGGGAGGGTGATCCAGCTGCAGCCCTCCAAAGACCATTTCAGTGAGCACAGATAGAGCCCTTCCTTGGTTTTTTATCACTTCATGAACATCCTGCAAGTAAAACAACATGACAACTTAACATCCTGTTAAGTGCAACCAGATCTGCTGTTTGTAGCATCCCAAGAAAAGCTGATGGATGAAGGTACAATGGAGATTGAGACCTACCACTTTCCACACTGCTGCAGACAATCTGTGCCATTCTCTGAGACAGAGGTCATCTGGGCTGTGTGTGACCTCCTAAATTGATGGTATGGCTGAAAAGGAAACTTGGGTCACCACTTACTTTCCAAAACACTGAATTTGCACTGTGTCCTTCCTCCAATACATCCTTGACCACTTCAGCCTCCTGTGTTACCTAGTGGAAGGCACGGTTTATCCAGACACCCTGAGAGGCTTGCACCAGGGTTCAGCACACACACTGATGTTACTAAGGCCAACCTTTGTGGAGATGGAGGGCTTCACAGTGCATGCTGCTCCCCCAAAGATACCCAGCCTTCCCCAGCCTCTCCAGGCCAGGTGTTAGCCTGGGAATGCAGGCAGAAATCCAAGCTTTCCGGTAAATCCCCCTTATGAGGTTGTTACAGAATGACTGCTGAGGATCGGTGATGTTTTCCAGCTCAGAAACCACACTTCCTCCTCACTGCACAGCAGTACCACCAGTCCTGAGTGAGCACCTTAAAGAGTTTACTGGGCAGAGCAACAACTTTATTTCCAGTGCCTGCAGCCCACCCTCAGCACTGACAGTGGGGACTGGGGCACAACTCGCAGTCGAACCAGCAGCACTGGGAAAAGGGCACTGCTTCTGACCCTTGTAATGTGTCAGGGATGCCAAGGCAGGGTGGGAGTGACACCGCATTTTCCTTTTCTGGAACTCCAGGTCACCTACTCCATGACTTAGCTCTGGCGCCGCAGGTCTAAGGACAGGACAAAGCCAGCTTGTTTTGCCATGGGCCCCCTGCCAGGCTCACCCTGCCCACGGCTGTTGCAATGCCAGCTCTCCCTGGCCCAGGGGGGAGCAACTCTGTGCCTTCTTCACCAGCCTCAACCACACTCCTGCACCACCAAAAGCAGCTCCAGACCTGCTGCTGCAGGGCCCAGGGACACAGGCTGTCCCAGAGCCCCATGGCCCCCAGGGGCTGCCCACCTCAGCAGTGCCCTGCCCACATGGGAGCTGCAGGAAGTGAGTGTGTCAAAAGTTTCTGCTACAGCAGAAAGGATTCCAACACTCAGGAATCATCCTGCTGTAAGACTAAGGCTGAACCAGAGCAATGCCACACCCCTGCAGAGACAGGGATTTTGAGGAGACTACTTAATATTCCCTCTTTTTGCAAAACCAGTGTTTTCATCCAATGCTAAGAATTCCATAGAGAAAAATAATTAGGTCAAAACTTTGCCAACATTTGGATGCTGCCTGACTTCTTGCCAAGAGCATCTCATCACATAGTTGCATTTCCCAGCAATACTGGGAGACTTCCCAACACACAGGCAGCAGGAAGTACATGTAAGGTTGCCTGGTATCTATTACGTTAAGCATCTCCAGTGACATGATTATTAATCATTAAGTGAATCACACTAATATTCTGACTATTGCACACCTGTTCCCTAGCACCATCTGGAGGCCAACTCTGTCCTTCATCCCATTTAGTGGAAATGGTGCCTGTAGATCCAGGATAAGGAATGGGTCTAACTCCTTTGGATCACTCAGCAAAGATCCAGGTGTTTGCTGCTTTAAATACATGTTGTAATAGAGACAAATTATTCAAGTTTGGTTGTTTGCTGCAGGCTGAAAACTTGTTTAGGAACACATGTTTGAACTTAGTAAGCTACCTCTAGTCAAAAGGCAGAACAGCTGATCTGATAAAGACAGCAAAAAAAACCTCCTGACAATGTGGTTTTAAGAAACTGAGGAAGACATGAAGGAAAACAGGACTTCAGGATAGAGCATAACCTATATTGCAAGCTTTGGCCCCTTGCCCCGCTGAGGTGGTCCTGAACTAAGTTAATACTTGTATATTTTCTTCACTGACCTGGTAGAACTCCCCATAGTGAGAGAAAACCTCCACTTTAGTGGCCCTCAGAAGAGCTGGGTGCCATGTAAAACCCACCTTGTTCAATTGCTGGTTTATAATCAACAAAGTTTTGATCAGTATTTCACCATGTCCACACAGGTGCTGTGAGGGAGGACCAGATTCCGTTTTAGGACACTGCACAACATAGCTGAATCCACACAGACCACCTCCAATATATCACAAAATTGAGCTTGTCTCCCTTTCACATCCTGTATCTCCTGCTACTGAGCAGTTAGAAGAGTGAATCCTTAACTAAGACCAAACCCAGGCTTTTTTTCTTTGAACACTATTAAAAAAATAAATCATTTTAAATACCCAAGAAAATCCTTCTCAGAGTAGCCAAGATCTTGGCAACTACTGTTCTATACATGGGAAAAGGAGAGGAGTAGATGGGCTGTAATTCTTTCCTTCCAACTGTATTTTGAAAAGATGTTGCTTCTGCACCACTCAGAGTCCAGTCAGCACAGAATACAAGAATACAGAGAATGTCCATCCAGCTGGGTTCTTTTAATGGCTCAGAAAGGGATGCATAATCAGCCAGTTGTAATAGGAGCTTTCTTATCATGACTGGGTCCACAACTTGTGACTTTCAGTCAGCAGAAATAAGGAGTGAAGGGGACATCAAGCACTGTACAGGAGCCATCTCCCAGACTAGGAGCAGCTGGCAAGCAGCCTGAGAAACTAAATTGACAATTTTATGGTGCTCTTCTTTACAAATTATGTGTTCATAGACATGAGAGAAGCAAAGGAACAATGTGTTTTTATCACATACAAGAGATTATTACAGTGCACACCAACAGCCTTTGAGAAATTCCCAATTTTATCCTATCCAGCTATATAACACTCCTTACATCTTAACTTCCAACTGCAAAACTCCACTTTAACACAAGATGTAACTTGGTTTTAGTAATTACACCACAAGTAATACTTTCTGCAACATCATATATTTCAGTTTCTGAACCTATATCCGAAGAAAGTGCTGAAGTTTGGGGAATACTTTTAGTGCATTCTGTGTAGTCACTTCTATAACTTCTCCAACTGGAATTCCTTTAATTTTGGCAATGTATTCAGCAGCAATGTAGATATTTTTGGGTTCATTTCTCACCTGAAAAACAAACCAACCAACCAACCAATTACAGACCCCTAGAGATCACAAGTGCTTCTGACACAACTTCAGTCACATCATGGTATGTGTGGCAGAAAAATGACATATATCCATTCCTCTTACATTAAGTTCCCATGGAAACCTCTTTCCTCTCTTCTAACCATGCTTAGATTACTCCACTATCCTGTACCAGTAGCCGACTTCCACAAGGTGTGGGTTTGGATACAAATACACAGAAGTCCCTCCCTCCCATCATTTACCTGCTTTTCAGGCCCCAGAGCAGGAGAATCAGTTTCCAAACACATATTTTCCAGAGGCAACTGTTTCACAAGCTTCTGCTTCTTGAAGAAAATAAGAAAGCCATTAGATGCTTTATGCACTTAAACCTGTGAGAAAAAAACATGAAAAGAGGATATTCCCTACATTTAAAGGCAACATCAAAAGACTTTGGTGCCACTGTTTACATTTTATCAACGATTTCTGAATGGAAGCAAGAACACCAAGAGCTGCTCAAGAAGTCCCCTCAAATTAGGGTTCTCCTGTTTTCTAAATATCCATCAATGCCAAATTCACTGTTATTTATTAAACCATGCAGTTATATTGCACTTATAGAGCTGCCAGTGCAATTCCAATTTGCTATTTTCTGTGCATATAATATTTGTGTATCTTTTCCTCCTCTCTGCTTTACCTCTCAACCCCAGTTTGCTTTCCTTCCTCCTAAGTACCTAACCTCATCCTTATTTATATCCACCCCTCATGCTCCCTCTACTTAAATCAAACTTTTTCCTCTCTTACATTTCCCGAGCTTATCACAGAAAGCAGTCCTATCAAAAAAACTACTCCTCTACATCTCTTGTCCCTACTGTAAAACAGTACAGTGGCAGAATCTTCCAAAGAAGCGTTCACCAGAAACCACAATAAAACAAGAAAAACCACCCCCTGTTCTCAGGAGAAACTGAGCTGTTTTAGCCAGAATTCCCCCTCTGTAGTCCAGATAAAGCAAAAGCCCCAGGCAGAAATTCAGCCAAGGTAAAAATGTGCAATGCACAGAGAAGGAGCAGACCCCAGCTGGAAGCGGAACAAAACATTACCTGTTCACTCCTTATAATGGAAGGAGGAATGGAGAAGTAGTATCCAGCTTTCACCCCTTCCATGGCTACAGATGGCTTCCCATCAAAAGCATGGAGCAACACCTTGGTAGCACCTTGGAGAAACAAAGCAAACCACATCATCAGGTTACAGCAGGGCTGCCACGTCAGCTTCCAACGGGACCTGGCTCTCATACAGAATTAACACAGGAACTCTGCACTTCTGCTCCTGAGTTAAACACACACAAACTGATGAGAGGACGTGGCACAGCTGGAGAAATCCTGTTGGCAAAAGCCAACAGGCAGAAGAAAGGCATTAAAAGCATACCTTGTTCCTTCAAGAGATTAATGGTTGGTCTTCCAGCTGAGCGGGAATGAACATTTCTGCACAGCAAGGAGAGGCCCAGCATTAGGAAATTTATCCAAATACCTTTTTTTTTTGCAAATACAAACAAACTAACAGTATCTTGGGATGAAAATAATTAATATGTATTACAACTTCTATAAAAAAAAAACCAGGGACTATATATGAATCCTTTCAGCTACAGTAAAGATATAGGAACAACATAGCATGGACAGGACATATAAGATGTCTGTACAGAAGTGCAAATACAAGGAAAATTCTGTAATTAAATCTCAAACCCGAGACTGACAGGATACTTATGCCAGTTTAATCCATCTAAAAAAAGTTCTGTGGGCACTTAATAACCATAAATCCTGGGAAGTATTTCAGCATGTTACTGAGACCTGGCAAATTCTCCTTCTGGTGTAAACAAAACCTACAATGGCAAGTCCAGTCTTCTTGCCAGCTCAATCTGCTTGATCAAAACCTGTCTTTGTCCTTCCTTCTGTTCATCGGTGCTGGCAAATCTGGGAGTGAAGTCTAGTCCAACCTGCAGCACAAGAAGAGAAGGGAAAAAGTTTTACAGACCTAACACTTAACAAAACCATAATTAGACATACAAAGGCATAGCACGCTTCAAAACTGCAAAGCATTTCAAAATATGTATAGAGACTGCAAATAAAATGAGCTCAGCTACAGCTTAACTCAAAAAAAGAATGCATTCTCAACCATAAGCTTTTCAACTATGAAAGCATCTGTGGGCAGACAGCTTCTAACAGGGGTATTTAACATTTTTGTCTGTCACTGGTTTTCTGGAGGTAAATATTCTATTGAATGTTATGTCAGATTAAGTCTCGAATATGTATCTCCAGTATAAGCAAAATTTCTGACCTGAACCCATAGTTGTAGTCCAATCTCTACCAAAAATTACTCATTAATTCTATACTTTTATCTAAACATGTTCAGGCAAAATTTAGAGTTTGTTAAAGCAGTCCCTTTCACAGTTAGATGGAGGGAAGTTATACATATACAACACAACATGGCTACAAAGCTCTGCCAAAACCTGCTTTTTCTGTAGCCAGTACAGAACCAGATGTAAGTCCCTCTGATGCTAACACACAAATAGAGGCAGGCTCCATCCTAAAGCCTCAATTCATTTATAAACTCATATAAGACAGGAGACAACAGATGGATACAGACAGTTGAAGGAGTAAAAAAAAAAAGAACTGTACAAGTCAGTGTGGTGTATTGAAATCACAGCTTAACCTAACTTTGTCAGAGAAGGCAGGAAGGATCTGCCTTTGGGTATAACATGAGAGAGCATAAGAATGTAATCTTCCAACGACTCCAGCAGCATAAATTCCATCTATTTTCTAATAGCAATATTGGAGGAAAAGAAGGAATCAAGCAAATCTATAAAGGAAAGCACATTAAGAGAACTACCAGTCAGACTTAGTGCTTGTTCAGGCTGAAAGCAATTCTTATCACATACAGAAAAACAAGCATTGACTCAATTTTTGTAATTCCTGTGACAGCTGCTGTTGGAGAGATTTAAAGAAGTTTTGGAATTTCACTCACTTCTCCAATCCCCATCAATTTGTCTTTGTAAAGTTCTATAAGAGGCAGCGCAGCATCCAGATCCTGCAAGAATAAAAGATGCAACTCTCACTGCCTTTACAAGAGGAAAGGTTACAAACTCAGCATTATGATTAATTTGGCATTCACTGTTCTGATATTCTGTGCTTTAGAATCTGCCATTACTGTGAGCTGTGCAGTCAGATGCTAGAAGCCTGAAGGATTTATCTTCTTTATTTAATAACCATTTCATTACATACTATTCTATATTATATATCTACCTACCTCTCTCTCTATATATAGACCTTATTCTAAATATCCTAAGCTAACTTTTCAGAGTAGCAGCAGAGGTAATTAAAACAAGGCCCATAAATAGCTTGGCAACATTAAATGGCTGCAGACAACTCCCTGAGATTTTTAGGATAAGGGCACAAACAGTTGCCTTCCAGTTCCCATGTTAACAAAGGAACATCTGCACATGCTGTTTGCTGCAAGTAAAGCACGCTTGGGATTTCTAAAACCATTTCACTGCAGTATTACAGCCAGATGACTCCAGCGAACAATTCCGCTTTAAGGACTAACAGGGACAAATGGATGTGCTGAGAGAGGCTGGGATTTGGTCCGCTGGGTCTCCTGCATTACAGAGTGCAGAAAAACCACTGGGCAGACCTGAAGGTAAATCAGGCAGATCGGAGCATCCTGTCGTCTGTCCTGAAAAGTCCCAGCAGTATTTTAGAGGCCGTGTTTTACCTTCAAAGCAACACTGCGCTGCTCCTCTGGAGAAACCTCTTGAACGGGGTGAACTCCCAGGCACGGCAAGACAAACCCTGGGAATCTAGGCACGGAACAGATAGCGAGAGTGCGAAAGACCACAGAAAACCTAAGTTTAACGCCAAGAGCCCACAGAGACCCCAGGTTTAAAGACAAGAAGGGCTGGCTGACTGAGTGGAGCAGCGCAACCCCGTCAGTCCCCAAGGCGCGGACCCGCGCCAGGGACACGGGTGGGCGCCGGGATCCCCGCCGGCCTCGCACCTCTCAGACAGCTCCACGACGCTCCGGAACTCGCCCGCCTGCTCCGACACCACCACCAGCGCCGACACGGCCGCCTGCGGCACACAGAGACCCCCGGCCCGCTGAGACCGGCGGAGCCGCGGGGCCGCGGGGAGAGGGTCCCTTCAGGCCGGCCCCGCCTCACCTGCTCCGCCGCCCGCACCACGGCCGCCACGTCCTGCAAGAGACACGCACCACCTCAGCTCCGGGGCCGCGGCCGGGCCTGCCCCCCGCCCGCCGCGCCTCACCCGCTGGAAACAGGGCGCGGCCAGGTGGCAGTGACAGTCCACCGGCCCCGCCATGCCGCGCCCGGCAGGAAGGCACCGGGCGGCCGCGGGTTCCGCTTCCGGGCCGGCATTTTCCCCGCGTCCCAGACCGAAAATGGCGGCGGCTCCGGGGCCGGGGCCGGGGGAGCTGGGGGAGGAGGGCGCGGCGCAGCGGGACCCGCGGGTGCGCTGCTACTCGCGGCGCCGGCTGTGCGCGGTGCTGGAGCTGTGCGCGCCCTTCGTGCGGACCCTGGAGCAGGGACAGCCCGGCGGGGCCGCCGCCGAGGTAAATGCGCTCTGGGTGAGCGGGGAGCGGGAACGACCTGTGCCGGCACAGGGCCCGGCGGGCCCCGGCGGGCCCCGCCGGCAGCGCTCGGCAGCCGCGTGAGGGGAAGGCTTGCCCCGGTGTGGCCCCTGGGCAGGGCGAGGAGGCGGGATGGGCCCTTCCTGCGGGATGGATGGATGGATGGATGGATGGATGATGGACGGACGGACGGATTCTCAGCCTGTCCCCTGCCTTGCAGAACTTCGAGAAAAAGGTGCAGGAGAATGTCACCATTAACGGGCAGCCGTGGGAGGAGGCCTCGGATGACTCCCGGTTGCAGAACGGTAGGCGGCGGTTTCCATTCGCTTCCCTCTGGGTGGGTTTGTTTCGGTTTGGTTTGGTTTGTTTTGGTTTGGTTTGGTCCGGAGGTAAAAGGGGGGGCCGATTGAAGGGGGAGGTTCTGACTTGCTCTAAGGAAGTAAAAACTCAGAATAACAGAGCATTGGAAAAGACTGCCAAGAGCTTGTCTCCACTACTGGAGGCTTCCAAAAACCATCTGGGCAAAAGTGTTCTGAGCAACCTGTTTTGAAATGGGCGTTGAACCTACTGTGAGCAGAAGGCTCTGGAGGGTCCTTCCAGCCTGAGTGTTGGGGGCAGTGACTTCTGTCAAAAGACCCTAGGAAACTCTGCTGCTGCTATTTAATATACAGATTGTTGAAAATTATTGCTATATAAATATATGTAATAGAAACAATATAATTAGTGTCTTTTGAATAATAATAATGGAGATTCTTGGTATTCTGGTGTCCATACAAAAATTTTTGTGCAGTTCATCCACTCACGTGTGTTGGCATTAGGTGCTGTCTGCCTGCAGCTTGATGCTCTTCACTGTTACACTCCAAAAGAGCTGAAAATACAGATACATTGAGCTAACTATGGAGCTGTTGAACCGAAAACATTGAACATGAGCAAACATGGGCTCTGAGCAATGTGATCTAGTTGAAGATGTGCCTGCTCATTGCAGGAGGCTTGGACTAGATTACCTTTAAAGGCCCCTTCCAACGCAGACTATTCTCTGATTCTGTGAAGTGTCCACAGTTGTAGTTCTAGAATGATGAAACTCCAGCTACTTAGACTACAAAGTCAAAAATGCACCGGTCTCATGATGCAAAACAGAGACACTGTCATCTGCCCACAGCTGGCATAAAGCAGGTGTAAGGACTATGTTGTGCTTTTTAATTCAGTATAGATTTACTCATGTGCCTATCTCTGATCAAGAGATCTGACATTTTGTACCTTCCATGTTTATGTTGACCAGTGGCTTAAGTCTTTCCTGTCTATATTTAAATGGTTTCATGGTCATCTTAAAACAAACAACTAAAACAAACCCACAAACTGTTAAAACCTTGACTTTTCCCTTTTGAGTTTTGCAATCACTTGATTCTGCACAGAGTGACCCAGAGAGGGTGCTCAAAATCCATTCTTTACCACTAGATGGAAAACATTGCATGACTTACAAGGTATATTCAACATATTTGTGGGAACAGTGAATTTAAATGTTAAACTGCTTTTTTGTGCACTGTGTGATATAAAATCAGTTAGGCTTCCAATTACTGTTTGTACAGTTGGAGTTTTTTAATGCTTGTAAATCACACAGATAAACCATTTTTCTCCTTAAAAGATAGCCATTGCTTTGTAAGACTTTATTCACAGATGCAGAGTTCACAGGGCTTTTTAAAAAAACATTTTTTATTTTATTCCCTGGATGGTTCTCTGCCTGCCTCCCCCCGAGATAATTTACTTCAAAATAACTGAACAACATCAAGTTATGCTCAATACTGCCTTAGCAAGGAGATTCAGGACATACATTTATCTCTGTGTTGATAATCGTGCATGATTTTTTTATTTGAGATCTAAAGCTTCTTTCTCTTGATAAGTTTGTCTTAAAAAAAAAAAAGGTCTGAGAATTACACAGCAACTATGTGTGTTTGTCACTTTCAGATTCCAGTATTAAAATTCTGGAGGATCAATTTGATGAATTAATAGTAGAGACAGCAACTAGGCGTAAACAGTGGCCTAAAAAGATCCTGGTACATGCTATCCAAACCATGAAAGCAGAGCAAGAGATGTTGGTGAGTAACCTAAGACTTCCAAAAAACCTTTGCATTAAGAAATCAATCATCCAGTGACCTTTAAGCTCCTTCCCATGATTTCTTTTGATTCTTTATCATAGCATGAAATTGCCTTTTTTCATTAACTGGTTCTGCAGTAACTAAGGGTTAGACTTAGTAAGTTTACTAAGTAGCTACTAAGGGTTGACACAAAACATTGTGACTGTATCTGAATTGGGTCTGTGGCACAAAGAAACTGGAGCAGATTGCTTCAGCCTGGTGAATCAGGATTTTCAAACCAGTAGCCACTTATCTTCTGAGTTCCTGAAGTCCTTGCCCAAGGGCTGGTTGAGGAACAAAATGTTACACTACATACAGATAGATAGTATCATATTGCAGTGTATGACTTAAAATGTCAGTGGCTTCCTAAGCACATTTTTGAGCTAGTAACTACATTGAGTAATGACTTTCAGTAAAGCATGGGAAAAAAGGTAGTGTGGATTAATGAATCAGCACAGTAAATTCTGTGAGATTTTTGACACACAGTATAAAGTAATTACTGGCATTAAACAGCCCAGGCGTGTCCTCAGCTGCTAGATTTCTTCCCTGAAGTCATGTTAGGCCTCCCTTTTGCTTACCTTCTGATTAATCAGGATTCCTTTGGCAAAAACAAAAGGCTGAGGCAGAGTCAAACTCTGGCACAAGTTGCCCAGTGAAACTGTGGAGTCTTCATCCTTGGAGAGGTTCATGGAGATACTCGAAAGTTGACTGGATGCGGCTCTGAGCAACCTGCCGTAGTTGGCCCAGCTTTCAGGAGGGTATTTAGAGGTCCTTTCCATCTTCAGCTGTTCTAAAGAACAGAAGACAGGAATTTTTTTAGGAAGTTGTGTAGGAGCCTGCACTGCATTTCTGATGAATAGAATTGACAAATGTTAATTCTCTAGGTTATCCAGACAGAGATGATTTATGGTAAGGAAATGTGCATGGGTATGCTTTTGTCTTACATGTGAGATATTTTCTAACATATATTGCCTTTGTGATCTCTCTGTTTTGTCAGTATACCAAGTATGTAAAACAAGCAAACAGAATAAACTAAAATAAAATACGTTATTGCATAACACCAAGATTTAACAAGACCTTTTAATCTTTCTGCTATCTGAGTCCCACAGTGGATTAGTTATTTGGAATGCCTCTCATGCTACTTTTTTTCTCTTGCTGAACTCTTCAAAGTTTACACCACCACAACTAGATGATTATTTTAATTAAAATTGTCTGCAAAAGTTTAGTTTATCCCTGAGAGAATATGTAGAAATACATGTAAGAAATATGGAAAGTTTAGTGTATCTCTGTAAATGCTTGTCCCTTTTTTTGCCATGTCTCAGCTATTTCTGCAAAGGTACCAATGGTTTCTTTGATTTTGGTTGAGGATTTCTCTTGTTCTTTCATGACCATAGCTAATGGTGTGATGCTTTCTGAGGCATAAAGAGCAGCCATAAAGATGTGTTTTATCTGGAGAGAACCACTCATTTATTGTGGTAATCTCCTTGCAACTGCCAAAGCAAGAGATCATCCTGTGGGTTTTCAGTCAATATATTCTGTAGAGTTTGAGACTAATGCAAGCCATGTTTGTTCTTGTGCCTGGAGCTGTTACTGCAAACTTGCTAAGAAGTTGTGTGAACTGTGAAAAAATTTCTCTGCCAAAACTACAGGAACTAGCTTTCCACTACTTGCTTTTACTTGAAGAAGGCTGAGGGACAGCTCCTGAAGTGGAGAACACTAACTTGCAGATGATCCAACTTCTGTTCCCTTGGCCTTGCTTTTTTTCCTTCTTCCCTGTTAGCTGTTTCTAATTCCACCTTTAATACAACTAAGTATGGGTTATGTTCAGTTATTAGTTTACTTCATGTCTCAGTTAACTGATGTGAGGTCACAAGACTCACAGTTTGTGAAGCAGGGTGTTCTTAGTTCTGTATAAGTAATTGCAGGGCTAGAGTGTAGTTGTTTATGTAGTTTCCTTTTTCTTAGCTTTTTATCTTAATGTACCCTTTGTTGGAATTTGATACTCTGTGAAAGCGTGCTGATTCTGTGAAAAGCTCCTGAGAAGCTAGAGCAGCTCTTCTTCCTCAGTTGTGCAGCAGGTGGCAATGCTTCTTCCAAAATACCTGGATGTCAGTTATCATGCTTTAATAATTAGAATTCTGCAAACTAAAGCAGATTCTGGAGATGTGCTTACAGAGAGTGTAACTGTGTTAACCAGAATTCTATTTTCCATAACTAAATATCTATAAATTGTACCTCTAATAGATTCTTGATTTAAGTAATTCCACCACATCTCCATTGTTCTGACTGCTCTATGTATATTAGATGTATCTTAAACCAAGGAGGTATTTTATAATTTTTTTTTCTTTTTATTTTTTAATATGCAGAAGCTCTACCAGCCTGTGGTAAAACCTGCAGAGATAAGACCTCAGCCTTCTCAAGGTAAAGATTTTGTGGGAAGAGCAGCTGGCTAACTTACTCACTGGCTCATTTACTAGTTAACTGTAAATGTTTAAGAAGTTTTCTTTCTTTAAGCTTGTTTAAAATTGACTGTTTAAATGATTAACTAAAAAGTTACAAGTTTGTCATGAGTGAATGTATTGCTGCCTGAGTTTTACCATGTCCATTTCTCTTGTTCTGACTGCTGCCTGCAGTTAGGCACTGTACTTAAAGGCGAAAAGCTGGCAAAGGCCTCACTGTGTGTGTATTGGGGAGAAATTGTCACACAGCTACCCCCAGAAGGCTTCCTTACTTCTTTCTTTCATCACTGGTGAAGGCCAGATGGGGAACTGGATGGATCACCGACATTATACTTTGTCTGTTCTTGTGTTCCTTTTACATGAGTACTTGAAATGCTTCAACTTCTCTTCCTAATCAGTCAGTTCCTTCAGGGAATTGAAAGCTGTTGTGTAGGACTCGGTGGTGACAGTGTTGACTTAGGTGACAGTCCTAACTTGCTAAGCAGGACACAAATTTCTTCCTGCCTGTGTCACTTGTGAGGGTTGATGAAAGAACAGAGCTGCAAACAATGCTTTAAGTTGGCTGCATGCTTTGGAAGGATACCTTGTACAGACTCATTGGAACAGGGTGGTGGATTTTGCAGTAGGTGATTGGGATGTGCTCTCTTGAGGCTGGCCTTAATAAATGGGAAGTTTTGTTTTGCCTGTTGTTACATATTAAAAAATGACAGAATTCAGCAGTGCAGTTCTGATTTGAAAAGTGAGAATCCTCACAGTGAATTACTGCACATGATGTAAAGCTGGTGTAACAAGCAGTGGTGCTCAGAGTTTGAGGAGCTGAGCTGAATCTTCCAGTTCTCACCCTGCTGATCTGACTTCATTCTAAACATCATTTCCTCTTTGTAGATGGGAGACATGGCTTCCAGCAGTGCCAGCCTGTGCAGCAAAGCAGCCGCTAGGAGCAGTACTGTGGGTCACTTTATATCCGAGTTCCTTTTGGTTTCTAGTGTCCAAATCCAGGCTTTTCTGATATCAGTCAACTACTTGCAAGTTAGTAGCAGTTTGCACTATAATACTGTGGTTTTGGGTTTGGTAACAGCAGAGTTGTAGCAAAGTTACCATGGAGAATTTTGGTATTATGTAGTCTTTGGGAAGTTTATGTATCCCAGTTTAGCAAGTACAGTTTTGCCAGAAACCAAAAATGTTTAGATTACTCAATACCTTTCATTTCCTTGTTTCATTTCCCTATGTTTTGGAAAGCCTTGAGCACTGAGGAGTATAATGCCAGCTATGTAAAGCCGAACTCCTGTAGGCAAATTTCATTTAACTGTGTGTCAGTCTTTGTATAATAATCAAAATAATTAATTCTACTTTACTTAACTCCATTCTTGCCATTTCATAAGGTCACTAGCCTCCTTATCCCAATACTCTATTGTAAGAATGCTTCATAATGGACATATCCTTCTTTTAGAGAATGCCCTTCCATAGGGCTCTGTGATGGGTTTAAAGAGGTTGCTTCTGGACTGCTTATTCTTCCAAACTGCTTGATGGTGCAATGTAGTGTCTGTGTTCACATAGGGATCATGTGTTCCTAAACCAGCTCTGACCAGCACATCGGACACATGGACAGTTCAACAAACACCATCTCTTGGTGATTACCACATTTCAGCAGGGAGTCACTGTAACCCTGGGCTAAAACACCTTCAGCAGCACTAGTAAGATTGACTTCAAAACACAATGCTGTGTTTAACCCTAACAGGGTTCAGCGGTGTGTGCACCACCTGACACCATGTCATACTGCAGGCATTGGTGAAACCCTACAGAAAACTAGTAGTAGTGGAGGTGAGGCTCCTTACTTCCCAGAAGCATGCTTGTCTGCTCATTTTAAGTTTTGTGGATGGAGAACATGCAAAACAGTTCCATAATAGGCTAGAGTTTAACTCTTGAATACAGAATTAAAGTATTGGTGATCTTATCATATTGCTACTACAGTTGAATATATGCTCTATTCCCCTGGTGTTCTGCACCTGCTGCCTGCTTCAGTGTTCCTGAAAGCTGGGGTTTTTTTTTTATTTACTTATTAGCCCAGCAGAATTAATGCAGTTAATGTTATTTATGCTTGGTTCTTTTTGGTGTTAATGCTTGGTAAGTTAAGCCAGAAGGAAAAACAAAAAAAGTAGCCTTTATTGTAAAAGCCAACTTGTCAGAGACATAGGATGATTTATTTGCCCTCCTTAAAAAGAGTTTTCTTCATCTCATGTTCTCCACAGTGGTGTTTATTCTCTGTGTTCTGTGTGGTTTTTATCAAATGTAATATGAGCATAAAAGTTTTGAAAACAAATCTTTTTGTGTAATTATTTCATTACAACTGTCCTCTTGTTTCAAATATTGGCTCAGTGTTTTCTAGGTAAGAACTTTGGGGCTTTCTGTAGTTGAGACTGCTAACCTCTACTGCAGTTTGAGTGATAAAGAATAATACTAGTAAGATAAACCATGCCAGCTGTCTTCCTCGGTGTTACAGTGAAAGGGATGTGTTCCAGGTTTAGGTTTTATACAGGGACTTTACTAGTTTTCTGTCTATTTTCTGATAGTGAGTAATGGGGGAAGGAAACATGTTTCAGAAGTTGATTTGTGCTGTGTTTGTCTGTAGATGCTTACATCGCAGATCTGAAGCAGGCGACAGAAGTGGCATCCAGACAGATCAGCGAAGCAATGCAGGTGAGACCTCTGTGTGCTCAGAGAGAAATAAGTTTTTGATCTGGTAATATGTCACAAAACAGGAGTTCTAACTCATTTTCCTTATAGTTTGGTCAAAAAAAACCTGTGTGTATAGTTACAAAGCAGGTGAAGCATTGTGTTTATAAAGCATTCCCCCTCACGTGCTAGCAAGGGAGATGAGCCTGTGGCTGTAGGAATCTTTACTGAGATTTTGGAACCTGCAGCATCTGGAAAACAGAACATCTTTTGGAGACTTGTACAGCTTCATCTTCATATTAGAGTATGATATTTGTTAATTCAGTACCTGCTTAGGCATCAGCTGTGGTGTTCCTTTGATACCTCCTGAGCCTAGAGATGTAACGAGGGAACACTTCAACTTGGCATATCCTTTGCATGGTTTCTGAATGCAGACACCTCACTATTGGGGTGGTAGCTCTGCATTCACAACCCTCATCCACCATCCTGAGTGTCATCTCTGCAGACACTGAGGCTTTTGTGCCTGTATGAATCTCATTAGCATATTGCATGCCTCATAAGCATTGCTTTTCCCATGTAACTTGAGATACTTGGGTTTGTTTTTGCAGTCTATTCCAGCACTCATAGAAAAAGCAGAAGGTTTTTCCCAAGCATTAACTTTGCAACCAACTTTGGAACTCTGCAAGCTGCGGCAGGAAGTCTTTTCTGGTGGCAGGGTGAAGGAGGAAAACAATGTCCAAAATTCAGTACCACCAGGAGAAGTCACACCAACAGGAACTGTTTCCAGTAAAAATCCTTATATTTTGCTAAAAAGAAGAAAAGTTGCAGATGCCCCCAGGAGAAGGCGTTACCCACTGCGGCCGAGGAAGATCACTCTCAGTGCATGAATTTCTTTTGTGTTTTCACATTGGAATCTGAGTTGTACTTTTTTTCCATGTGTTCCATCTGTTTTTTTAGAACTCATCTCCCCTCAGTGATAAACACGGGAGCTTCTTTAATTATTAGTGTTTGACCTTTTAAATATTTCTACTTTTGCTGACATGATGATGGTATATGAAAGCCTACACGTACCAGTAGCATCCAATATCCAGCAAATGCATTTGCCATTTAACTCAGTTTATGCTTAGTTTTCAGCTTGAGTCTTTGTGCTACTCAGAGTTCGTGTGCCTGCTTTATGTATGTAGGCAGTCTTTTAGGGAACCATTGACTGCCCACTTACATTCAACATGTCTCTAAAGAGGTTGGAGAATGTCTAGTTCTCCTAATTCACCTTCATTAATTACTGAGACAGGTGGCTTTTATTTTAATGAATTGACACTGCAGCATATTGAAATCACCAGATTTGATGCAATGTTGGAGTTTTAAGGAAGTCCATGAACACATGTGACAATAGTCCCTGCTATTCTACCTTTTCTGAATGTAGGTCATCTAGGCTTACTTACAGTCATGTTTGTTGAAACTTGGATTTTTAATGATTGTATGTATTTACTTGCAGTCTGCTCTTCTGAATAGGAATTCAAACATCAGCATCTTAGGGTCCGATATTTCATTTTATGTAATCCAATTATGCAGCCTGGGGTTTTCTTAGACAATATTTCTACCCATGAGAGGATCTTGACTTGGGTTGTGTTTGTATTTGTGTTGTTTGACTAAACTGTAAAGATCAGTACAGGCTACCAGTAAATGGTATTCACTGGAGCTAACTTACTTTTGTTTTCTTTACTCATTAGTACCTAGAAGATTCCAAATTAGTACTAAATTGAGCATTTTGCCTTAAGTATTTATAACTTTTTCTACTAAATTGAGAATTTTGCCTTAAGTATTTATAACTTTTTCTAGTTTATGGTTGCATGTGCCTGCAGTAAATATTTCTGTCTATTATGTAACATATTTCTTACACAGTAAATGGAGGGTGGTTTTAGAAGCTTTATTAATGACATGTGTGCTGCTAAGAAGACAGGTCCAACCTGATGTCTAAGAGACTGAGAATTCTCAAGAAATCAGATTTTGGCATCATTTATTTTGCAAAAGTGAGCATCTGTACTGAGACTTTGTATATGTCATCATATGTAAATATTTTTCCTGTCCTTGTATATACAAATGTGTGTTTTTATATGAAGTAAATTAAATCAATTAAGGAAGATCAAAGCTTCAGATAATATTGTCAGTTCTAATCCTGGAATAGATGGTGGCTGAGCAGTGAGCGTACTTCAGAGGACATCTGTGTTAAATTCTGGCTTGAGTAACTGAAGTAGTTCCATTTACTGCCTTTGAACTCACAAGTGTTATTAATCTCGGGGCTACAAAGCTTCTCGTGTAAAAGAGGACAGGATGTGAGAGGGACTGGAGCTGCAGAGCTGTGGAACGTGTGGCTCAGACAGCTTCTCACACAGCCACTTGCTATTTTGAGTGCCCATGCTCTGTGCGGTGTTGAAAATCCCCTCTACGGCTTTCTTCATACAGATCCTGGGTGTTGCTAGGCTAAGGTGAGCCCTGCAAGATTTTGCATGGCAACTATTACAGTATTTGGCCATTTCCTCTGTTAATGGGAAGATTCTCTGCTCTTCTCTGCAAATGATAGGCAAGTACAGAAAATAGCTAGAAATAGGTACCTTTTTGTAGAAGTTCTGTCAAAAATGGCTGGGGTAGGACAAATGCCATAAGAAATAAAAAGGGAAAGCACTGTGGTTTAAGACTTACAATAGATTGACACTACAGTGCATGTTTCTACTTAGAGACTGAGGCATAGTTAGTCTGCACAGGATTTCAGGTAAGTGGGAATGAATGCCCTGAGTTATAGCAATAACTTGTTCCATAGCCCATGTTGCAACTGCAACTGGGTGGAAGAAGAAAAACGCATCTGGAAATGTTAGCCAAACAGATTGTGTAAAGAAAACGATAAAGCAATCAGGACTCCAAGTGCAGCATATAAACTAGGAATTTTAAAATCTAATGGCTACTTTTGGCACTGTAAAGTGAGCTTCCCCTTAAATGCAAGTTCTATGATGAGCTAAACTCAACACTGTAATGTTCAGCAGTTTTTCAAATGTTTATTTAGAAGTTCTACAGTCAGTGATAACTGCAACTAGCTATTCTTCCCATTGGCAGAAATATATAAAACACTTCATTTTTTCCCTTTCCAGTAGCCTTTTGTCCTTCAGTTAACTTTTCATAGGAATTGGCAGTGTTGTGCAAGACATGTCTAATCAGGCTTCTACTGAAATGTCACAACAGACAAACTTCTTATTTTTAACTTGGGCCAAATTGGTATTGCATCAAGAAACGTCTGGTAGTTTTTCTTTATATAGCCTTTGAATTTTGTAAGACAGCTCAATGGTGATGGATGCTTAGGTTCATTTGCAAACTGAGTTTGAATTCCTTGGCTTTTGGGAGTGACACAGAACACCGTGCTGTTTGTTAGTGTGTACTGTCTGCAATGTGCTTTTTGCTCATGAGGCTGGGCCATCCCCAGCCAAGAAAAACCTAGCGAATTGGAGCAGCATCCACACATGCTTTTGCTGTGTGTACTTTCTGAACAAAGGGGATTACAATCCTAAAGGGGAAGCTCTCTTCTAGAAATCTTCACGTGGACCCTGACATCTGTTTGGAAACCTGGGCGCTCTGAGACCTGGTTCGGACACATGCCATTCTCCAGATGAGCTGTGCTGTGCTAAGCTGTGATCAGAGACTAGTCTGCATGTGTGTAGGCTGCTTCAGTGCAGACAAAAGTCACTGATAAACTGCCATTATAAAATGTAAGCTCAGCTGACTAAGCTGCTTTCTGGGCTGCTTTTCTCTCCTGCACAGAAATGCTCTGCCTTTACTGCTGCACTACCTGGAATTACTGTGTAGGCACTTCTACAGATGTACCAGAGATAGCTTTAATACTAACTAGAAACTTGTTCCCACAAGCAAATTTTGACTTGTCATTTCCTTTGTCATTTGTTCTGAACAAGAACAGACAATTCAGGCTCAAGGGGACTGTCCCCTGGCTTTGTCCCATGCTTGTGTTATCCTGGAAACCTTATTCTGCAGCTGCTGGGAATGACTCAGTGAAGTGGATATTTATTCAGGACTAATAAATTCTTGGTGAGCTGCTCACGATTTGATGCTGTCATGTAGCTTGTGCAGGTGCCGTTTGTGGCAGCATTGCTCCTGGAGCGTGGAGTTCAAAGTCCCTCTGTGGAAGGGGATTTTCCCACAGATGACTCCAGAGGGCTGTTGAGGTGTTTTATCCACAGAGTTCATAGTGTTTATTGCAAGAGAACATACCTGTTCCCTGAGCTTGTGAAAATACTGGTTTCTAGTTCTGCTTATTTCAACTGAGCTTAAGCTACAAAGGCAGCAAGAACCCAGTGCTCTCTTGTTAAGCAACTGTCCTGTCTTGTTTTGGAAAGACAGTTGTCTGCTAAGGAAGGCAGCAACCTCTCTTGAAATGGAAAATGTAAAAAGCTCCTCTCTCTGAATTATTATTTTGAAATTAAGGGGCTCTCAGGCAAAAATATGGGAATAGGAATAACAGTTCTTTACTAGTATGTATAAATAAAACAACAACTTAATTGGAAAATTAAAATAAAATGCAGTAGTACAAAAATCCCACTGACAGAGTCAGAATACAACCTGACCCCTGTTGGTCAGGGTGTTGGTAGCAGAACCATTAAATGGTGGCTGCAGTCCTCCTGGAGTGACAGATGTGGTTCTGTTGAAGCAATGATCCTGTAGAAGGGATCCTGTAGTTTTCTTTTGAAGGACCAGTGGTGGTGTAGATGGGTCCGGTCTTCCTCTGGGAATCCAGTGGAGAAAGGCTGCCTGTGGTGTTCCAAGTAAATTAATAATAAAGATTATATCCAGGTAGGAATGCTTGGCTCCTCCCCCTGCGTGGAGCATCTCACAATGGGATGATGTAATTTTATCAGTCATGCACTGAGACTCAATGGCCCATTAACAGAAGAAACCCCCTGGAGTTATGAGAGATGGGTCATGGAAGAGATAAAGAACACTGCCCCACCTGTTTTTAACAGATGGTAATAGAATACATACCTTTGGTTACATCTTGCATTGCAACCTAAGACATGTGCCAACTAATTCTCTGCTCCTGCTCTGGTGTGCTGCTTTCCTTTAACTGCATGAGATGTAGTTAAAGCAAGATTAGGCTGTTTCAAATGAGCAGTTGAGAGCAATTCACCCTCTAATAACTCTGGCTGGTGGCAGGGTTGCTTTCCAGGAGGTGCTGGTTTGTATCACCTCAGCTGGAGAATGGCACTGAATCCACACCTTCTGCTGCCTCCATGAGCAGCCCTTGGTGAACGTCCTGCTCTTGGTGCACGAGATGGCACAGAGAGAAAGAAGCAAGACTGCTTTTGAAGAAACCAGGGAATGCCCTGTGAGATGCTTGGGAGACCCAGCACAGTCTGGGGATGCAGGTTAGGTCAGGGTATATTGGCAAGAGTGTGCTTCCCAGTTGTGGTCACCAGCCACCTTCCCATGGCTGTTAGGGTAGGAAGACTCACAGAGACTCGGTCCTCCAGGGTTGGAGGTCTTTGAAAAGTGCAAAACCAAATAAATGCATGGATAGCCTGGAGGGTGGAGACACAAAGTGCTTTGAGGTGGAACAGCTGGGAAGAAGTGATTCAAACCAAGGAAGTCATGCTCAAGTCTTTTAGTCACAGTCCCAGAGCCTACCAGGAAACCTGTGGCAGAGCACAGACGTCGGTTTGACTCTTCGACTCCTGGAGAACATGGTTCCCTCACCTTCAGCATGAAAGGTTAGCCAGATCTTCCTGGAAGGATAGTCTATATTTACTCATCTTGTCAACTCTTTAACTTCATCTAAGCTGGATGACTCAAGCTTCTGAGGAAACCAGAAAAATAGGGAAGTATCTGATTTATTGAGGTACCTGGGGTTTTATGACCGACTGCCCTGCAGTTTGGGGGCACATACCCTGCTCATCTGGTCATGTGTGTTCGCCTCTGTGAGTTGAGCACATCCAGGATGGTACAAGAATTACAAATCCTTTTGCAGTAGAGCAAGGATGTTGAAGTAGCTGTCAGTGCAAACACCCCCTTTCAGAGCATAAGGCCAAGGTAATTGTGCAATTAAAATGCAAGGAAGGTGTTCCCAGAGGTAAAAGAAACAGTGTTCAGTCTGTTAAAATACTCTCGATGGAATAGTGGAACAGAAAGATTTTTGTCTGCAGCGACTGTGTTTCCAGCAGTCTTTATCTGGCTCTGCCTTTACAAGAAGTCTGTCGCATTTCCTTATTATTTAAAGGAACAGGGTGAGTAGCGAAAGTGAAAATTGCTTTATCCCAGCACGGATGCCGTGTCTTCACCCCCATGACCCTGGGCTGAGCTGGCTGTCCCTCATGTGGGGCTGCCGCCGCTTCAGAGAGCCGATGTCACAGGAGCGCGGCGGGCGGGAGCGGCCGGAGGTGAGCGGCGGGCGGCTCCCGGGGGCAGCCTGGAGAGGAGAGAAACTGCGGGGAGTTTATTTCTGCAGCCGAAAGAGCGAGGTCGGGCCTCCCGGTGGGGCGTCGAACCCAGCCGGCCCCCGGGGCTGGGGCTCTCCGGGGGGATTTTCAGGCAGCTCCTGCCCGGCAGCGCCGTGACCCGGACTTTCCCCCGGCTCCCGGCGGCTGACGAGAGCCGGCGGTCCCGGGGGGCGGTCCCGGCGGGGGAGCAGTGCGGGACGGGGCTGCGGCTGCTCCCGGGCTCCCGATGCAGGCGGGCACCATGTGACGGCCATGTGGGCGGCGGCTCCGCCCCGGCACCTGGCGGCGGCACCCCCGGCCCGGGGCGGCGCGTCCCCCGCTCCGGCCCGCCCCGGCCCGCCCTGCCCTTGTGCTCCCTTCCCTCCGCTGCCTCGCACTCGCACCCCCCGCGGGCCGGGGGAGCCCTGCGGGCGGCTCGGCGGCGCCGGGATGTCGTGCGCCGTCCCGGCGGCGGGGACCAGCGCGCTGCCCCGGGGCGCGGCGGCCGAGGGCGGCCAGCAGGTAGGGAGCGGGCGGGGGTCGGCGCTGAGGCCGGGCACATGGGGCTGAGTCACGCCGGGCAGCGCCGAGCCGGGGGTGCCCGCTGCCCCTGGGCATCGGCCTTTCTTTCCCCGGGAGGCGGCCGCCGTGCTGGCTCTTCCCGGGCGGGAGAGCGGGCGAGCCGCCGGCGGTGGGAGGAAAGCTGCCGGGACACGGCGCGTTCAGCGGCTTTTCTCCAGCCGCGGGCAGCCGGGAAGGGAGCAGGGATTTCCTCCCCGCTGCTCGCACCTCCGCCCCGTCGGCCGCGCTGGAGCGGGGCAGGTGTAAAGTGCTGCCCTCCGGGCAGAGCGGGAGCGCAGGTCCCCGCTCCGGTAGCCAGCTTCCCCCATCAGCAGCAGCGCCTCTGCCCGCGGGGCTCTGCGGCATCCCCCGGGCAGCCTGTCCGCTTCCACGCCTCCACTTGGGGTCCGCCTGTGCAGTGGGGCAGGGGGATGCGCTGCTCTTTGCAGGCACCATGCGGTCTCTGGGAGACCGAGGATCAGCGCTGTCTAACTGGAAGTGTTCGTTCTCAGAAAGTTACACACCCGACTTGGGGCATCTTCTGTGTGCACCTTGCAAACTAGCGGAGTGTTTCTGGCTGATGTCTTCCAGAGTCACGAAGAAGATGACAGAAAAGTAAGGAGAAGAGAAAAAAATCGAGTTGCTGCACAGAGGAGCCGGAAGAAGCAAACTCAGAAAGCAGATAAACTTCACGAGGTGAATGGGTACTTAGTGCTTTGAGGGCATGGTTTGGGTACCAAGCACGGGACTTTACAATCAACAGGAATTCTTAAGCAGGCGTGGGCCTGTCTTCACACTAATCCTACTCAGAGAGCTGTGGGTGTGAGGCACAGAAAGACATGCTGTGGGATGCCTGGTCGGGAACTCCCAGACACTGATGCTGCTCTTGGACAGTGCAGCTCTGCCTTCAATGACAGTGCTAGGAAGAGAGAGACAGGGTCCAGCCCTTGCCTCATCCTCCCTCTTTTGCTCTTCCTGTGACCACCCAAAGAATGGGATCACAGGGCTCCTTTGGGCTAAACCAGAACCATTTTTTTTTCTGTATTAGTGTTAAGCTTGTCACATTTGCTATGACAGTGGATGAATTCTTGCTGTCATACAAGGTAGAAGGTGATGGAAGAGGAGGGGACATGCAGTGGCAACACTGGCTTAAATCAGTTCTACAACTGTGGTGTCAGCACTGCTGCTCAGCAACAGGGTCTCTAGACATACCCAGTTGAAAAGGCTTCTTAGGAACTTGGGAACCTGCAAGCATGAGAGCTCGGCTTGGCTAGCTGTTTGTTACACTTGTATGCTTTGAAAAGTAACAGTGGACGTTTAAACAAATAAAATGAAAGTAACTGATTCTTCCAGAAGCTTTTAGTATTGCAATGTGGTGTGGTTTTCTTGTGTCTCCAGTGCAAACACTGGAGGACAGGGACAGATTTTCTCTGATTTTGGATGTTACCTCACACAACAGTGCTCTTGTAGCCAGGAGTCAGCTTTTGGGGTAATTGTCAGTTTTGCAGCACGCTGCCATTGCGGCTGAGTCAGTTGTTCAGCTCTGAAGATTCATCACAGGCTTTATTCTTTCTCACTGTGGAAAGATCTGCCAGCAGTTAGCAGAGACTAAGAGGGACAATGCAGGGAGTTTTGGGCTTGGTTTTTCCCAGATCTTCTCTGAGTCAGCGCCTGAGAAAGCCAGGTGCAGGGTACTTCTGAAAAGGGGTAACCCCTGGCTTTTGTGGAATCGTATTTGGGCCTGTGCCATTCTGCAGCCTCTCCGATGTTCCTCCTGAACTTGAGGATCTTCCTCGTGCTGGGAATCTTCATTTTGAGGCACACAGATTTATCCAGGTGTAGGCAGATCTGGTTGAAGAGACATTCATTCTTAGCAAGAGCAATGTGACAGTCTCACCCCTGAAAATGGGACATAGCAATGGGACAACAACTCTTATTCCAAAACCCAGGGCCATGGAGTCTGGGGCAATAAGAGATGAGCAGAATGACAATCGGGGTCTGACAGCTTGGCTGGAGTTTGGCTCTGATACTGTGTTAGGAGGATTGTGATTGTTTTACTCTGAGAGGTGGCAGAAGGGTGTGAGGGAGGGAAGGGAGCCCAGAGTTCTGCAGCTAAGAGGAGCAGAGGCAGTGCCAGGCTGCCCAGAAGAACATTGCATGGGAGGCTCTCTCTGCCGCCTTTTAAGGCTTTGCACGTGTAGGCTTTGAAGTTTGCTCGGAAGCTTTCCCAGGGAGGTGAGATTGAGTGGGTGGATGTTGAGATTGAGTGGGTGGATGTTTAGCCTTGGGCCAGCAGCAAGACATCCATCTGCAGGTTTCCGGTGGACTGGCTCTGAATCTCTAGCTCCCTTCTCTTTGGGATGGGAAGGCTTAGAAGCAGGAACACTTGGGATGAACAGGTATCAAAAAATGTGGCGCAGGAGCCTTGCATCCATCACATGTGTGCTGCAGAGCAACTCAAAACTCCCCTCCAGTTAACAGCAGCTTATTTATTGCCAGAGAAGCCTTAGATCGAAAGCAGCCAGGTCAGGGATAATCATGGCAGTGATCTGGCCTTCTGGTGACAAAATGAGTCTGGCATCAAGCTGGCATGATGCTTCCTTCCTCCTGAGTTCTTTGGCTTCTGAGCAGGTGACTACAAGCTCTGGCAGGCCTGGAGGAGAGCACTGGACACATTGTGCTAGCCTGGATAAATGGCTTTCCCCTGCACTGCCCTGGGGCAGGGGCTGCCCTTCTCTCACCAGCAGTGCCAGGCACTGTGTTTTCCCAGCACCCCTCGTGTTTTCCCAGCACCTCTCGGCAGTCAGTACTTTCATTTTCTCTCATCTCACAGTGCAGAGTCCATTTTGGCCCTTCCCAGCAGAGGCAGCCCAGGCTGGAAGAGGCCACCATGGGGACACAGCCATCCATGCCTGCAGCCCTGGGCTCCTGGGGAACTCCTGAGAGTCAGCAGCACCTCCTGGTCTTCAGGGCCATGAAAAGAATCACAGTGTGGTCACAGGGCGTAGGTCATAAAGCACTCGCTCTGTTCAGCACCCAGGCTGTGTCTGTCTTTCATCAGCTCTTTGTGAGTTGTAGTAAGGAACCACACTGTTTTTCTACAGTTATGTGAATGTACTCAAGGTGGAAGCACTGAAAGGAATGTTTTGACTGTAAGTTGTTGGGTTTTTTCTTTCTTTCCCCTCCTTCCAGGAATATGAGTCTCTTGAGCAAGAAAATACCTCCCTGAAAAGAGAAATTGGAAAGCTAACAGATGAAATGAAACACTTGAGTGAAGTGTTGAAGGATCATGAAAAGATCTGTCCACTATTGCACTGCACCATGAACTTCGTGACCATACCAAGGCCAGATGCACTTGCCAGCTGCCTACCCAGATGAGTGCTCTCCTCAATCACCTCTAAATGTGATGTGTGAAAGTGCCATTAACAGGAGTTTTGAAGAACTGCCCACTTAGTGTGCAGCTCTTCCATTGAGCAGGGCTGGACTCGACCATGCAGCTCTTCTCCACTTTGAAATGTTACAGTCTTCTGAATCTCAGGAAAACACCAGTACGGAAAAAAAAAGACAATTTGAACAGCAGCTTCTAACTTGGTAGACTCTTCAAGTCATGGTTTTGCCTTCAGAAATGTCTAAGTGCCGTGCAGCCCACTATGGAGCGATGGAATGTAGACAGGGAAAAGTACCGACCTCAGACTGGGATGCCTTTCTCCCACACATCCACTGCCAGTAACCCTTTGTCACTTGTCACCCATGTATGTCATGATCTGGCTGCTGGGTTTTATCTCTCTAAACAGGTTTGGTTAATAAAAGCGATATCTTTATAATGCTCTCCACCTTCTTCAATAATCAATGTCTTTTATAGCATTTCTGCTTTTCATTTGCTGGTCAATGCCAAAGTCTAATGCTAATCTTCCTGTAAGTTGTTCTGTTATTTACTTATCACCTCTTCATTGGTTCCTCTTTTGAAGTGTGTGTAACAAAAGAGTTTTCTTAGTCCTTAATATTCCAAATCATCAGCCCTGCTGGCATTAGTCCTTGGAGCGTTTTATATCCTAAAATATGGCTTGGCCAGTTTCTGATGGTGATTGCTCTGTGTGGAAGAAAAGCAAGCAGAGTTAGATGATTTTAAACATTGTTTTAAAAAGCAGATTTTAAAATTTATTCTTTTAATGCACTCAGTGGAAATGAACAAATATCTTCATCCTTCCTTCATCTTGCTTATTGCCTCTGGAAGATTATGTCTGTGGATTGAGTTTTGCTAAGCATTTTGTTCTACATCCACGCTGAAGTTGTTTGATAATTGTTTGAAAGAAAAACATTCTGTTTTCTATAACTTTTTCTTTTTAGTTACAAAAAGGAAGTATGATTGCAATGTTACTGAGAAATAGACAGAAAAATGTGTTTACTTTCTCTGAAGATTCCTAGTAGTGTCAGCCTCTAGAAATGTGGATGCTGTAGCTTGGGATCCAGCAAAGAGTCTTTTTCTCACAGTATTTCCCAGTCAAAGAGCACCTTTGGATAATAAAAATCTCCTCCCCATTGCCAACTCTCTCACTTCAGCATCTGGATTTTTTTCAGTGAAATTCATGGGATTAATTTCTCCCTTCACCAGGATCACAGTACTATCAGCAGAATACGATCTGAAATGTCTGAATTTTCATTATTTTTTAATTTTATTTTTTTTTTAGTTTCTTTAGTAGAATGGTGCATTGCTGATCACTGCCAAGATAGAATTTGGGAAACCATACTCCAGATGAGCTGTTGGCTTCTTCAAATTTTTTGTTAAGTTGTTCCCAAGAGGATTTCCAGAATTTGCATCTGCATACTAAATGCTGTCTTCAAAGTTCCTTATGGTCCCATAAGGACTGAGTCATCCCACAAAGAGAATCTGCTGCAGTCCCTGCCTAGGAAAACAGAAGTCTCAGTACAGTTCAAGATACACATTCTGGGTAATGTCCTTGAAACTGTTCTGTGTGTCACCCTTAAGAAAGGATCTTACTTATATTCATCCACACACCCATGTTCCTTCAGGCCCTGGATGCCACTTTGTGATTTGGGCAGAGTAGAGATGTAATGGAGAAGGAATGGAAATGAACAACATTCACTCTGGGAAAATCCATCATAATTTAGGGTGAAGGGAGAGAGGAAATGCTTCACATCTCTTAACTAGGCGTGTGCAGCTGACTGGAAAGTATCTAATTTGGGTCAGGACTGTACAAAGCTGGAGCCTGACCATACCGGGCCTTGTGGACCCTCAAAAATGGGAGGAAAGATCAGCTAGTCCATCCCAACAGAATATTTCTAAAGATTTTTGTTCCACAGATGCTCTCTTCTAGAAGTAGAAATCTAGTTCCCTGTGTAAAATCCTCCTCCTTACACATTTATTCTTCTAAACACCTGTCCAGAAACAGGCTCCAGCTTATCACTTGGTGTCATATGCAAGTTCTGTGGTACACTCCCCATCAGTAAGCACTCTTCTTGTTCTGCAGTAGAACTTTCGATCCATGGTTTCTGCACTGGAATTCATTGCTTTATTAACCTTATAGTGTCTATGCAGAGTGTACAGGAGAGGACAGCAGAATTCTCAGCAATGTTGTGTGATGGAGACAACAGCCTAGGTCCAAGGATACATTGCTGTTCCTTGGAAAGGCTGGGAGCCCTGTAGGAACCCTCACTGTCCCTACTTTTTTCCCACAACCTCAGGGTATAGCTCCAGCTCTTCCTGTGTGCCATGTCCTTTAGTAATAGTAGGGCATGGGTTGCTTCTTCCTCGGTCTCTTGCATCACCTTTTTTCCCGGGAATATTTGCAATGGGTCTTTTGCACCATTCTTCCATTTGATAGATTACTAAGGCACCTCACCAATCAGTATATTGTGTGACTAATGTTCAAAGGCAGCTGAGAGCCCCAAGTAGAAGAAGTGAGCAAAATGAGTATCCCAAGCCACTTAAGTCCAACATTCTGATATATTTATAGAATTAATGTCATAGCTGAATCATGAGTCGGCAAGGACCATGAGCTGTTAAAGCACAGCCTTATGTGTCCCTACACACGCAGCAATTGCACTTTTTGCAGGAGCTGTTTGTAAGGTTATTGATTTACAGGAACCTTCAAAACAGAAAGTATCTTCTGGAGCCTGGGATAACTTTTACATGAATAGGGAACCAGAAAGGAGAACAGAAAGGAAAAAGCCCATTTGTTAAGGAAGCAACATAAAATTCTTTTTCAGATCCAAACCTCTCCTTTTGCAGCAGTGTTACACCATCAAAAAAAAAAAGTTTTCACATCTATATATGGCTAAAATCCCACTTGACGTACTGTAGCTGCAAAAAACTTCTAGTTGGTTTGACTTGTTCCCCACAGAAATGTGGTCTGTATTACATCCACATGATTTTCAGATGCAGGTAAATAGGGAAGATCTTCTCTATATTCAGATCATGGTTCATGTGAGGCGCACTGTGAGTTTCAGTCTCATTTGTGGATGTGTTATGTGCATGAGAGCTGCTATCAAAGCTGGATTTTGCCTCTAAGGTTCAAAGTGAAGGTTACAATTTGTCTAGATTCAGTTAGTGTGGATTTCTTTTTTTTTTTCTTTTCATTTTCTATGAGTCTAATGAAGAAGCAAAGTGCTTACTGCAAACTTACATACAAAAGTATTTATTCTAGGAACAGCCTGGGTCCAATTCAGCTATTTATCTATTAATTCCTTTCGGGTTTAGTTGGGTCAGATTGAAAATTGTTATATTTTGAAAAGTTAATTTTAGCCTCCAAAGCTAAAAAAATCAACAGAAAGGCAAAGTCAAACTTCCCAGAACTGCTCGTGTAACAGACATCAATTGTTACATCTCAAGAGAGCTTATTAGAAAGTCTTGCTCCTTCCCACTGGTATTTTACATTCATGCCTGTGAATGTTTATAAGTGCCTCCATGTACTCATCCAGTCTCGCTGAAAGTACATCTTTTAAAAAAAAAAGTTTAAATCAGCCTTTCTGTTCTTTGCCCTGGTACCAGTTACCATAATTTAGTGCTCCTTCAGCAATGCCTCTTGATCTCATCTGCATTTTATACTTGCGCTAGCCTTTGTATTCTCATTATTTCAAATGTCACTTTTTTTTTTTTTTTTTTTTCTTCTTCTTCTTCCTGTTTCCTTCTGTTTCTACATAGCTTGGTGACATCACTTAATGGCACAGGTATTAGAGGACCAAGGCTAACTGTAGGGCCATCTAGAAATTGCACTTCACTGGTACACCGTGCATATGATTAAAGGCTTCGATGTGTGCCTTGTTTTGGCACTCGAGTATTAAGGCAGGTGTCTGTGCAGTCTTTTTAAAAGTACTAAAAGGTGGCATAACCTTTTACTGTAGCCCATCAAACCCATACTGTTTCCTGTCCATAGATGAATGCTTTGCTGCATGGAGCTTGGGGTTTCTATCTGTGAACCAGTCTAGAATTTCTCTCTCAGTGAAAGTGGTAGATAAAACAACCATTTAAAAAATCCCTTTTCTTCCCATCAGTGCAGTGATACAATTCCTGTTACAGGAAGGAAGCACATCTGATTAGCAGGAGAAGTGGGGGTTTTACTTACTGTCACAAAGATTTAATATTATTCTCTTGATAGAAGGGTAGGAATTTTCTGTTTGTTAACCTGGGTTACTGTCAAGTGGTCACTGGAGAAACATCTTACATGTACATACAGCATGTGGCGTGGGCACACATCCATAAGGGAGTGAAAGAATTTGGATTCATTCTTTGCAGAAATGTGGGATTTACATTGATTTCACTGGAAGTAGAACTGGTCCTACAGCTGCCTCAGAGGACATGCAGTACTTTGCTTACTCACTTGGGTAATATTTATCTGAAGAATAGCTAGAAATTCACTGGAAGTGGGTAAATCTTAAGAAACCGTAGTAACAATCATCCCTGGGATTGCACACTCCATTTCTGGCATTCATTCAGGTATTTTTTTCCTACATAGCTCCTATGGGAAAAAACTGTAGTGGTAGAGTAGGAATCTTTTCTCACTGCAGAATTTTGAAATCCTAATATCAAATGTATTGTGAAAATAGCTGGCATAGCTTTTGCAAATAACCTGTTTCCTACTAATTATGAGTTTGGTCTGCTGTAAAGGAATCATTACTGTTCCCTTTAGAAGTGGAGAAGCTAAACCACAAAAGTCTTGGTGTAGAGTGAAAACATTCATTTGTGGAGTCAGTACTGAATGGCTACCATGCTTCAGTGTCACAGTTTATCTCATCCTGAAGCAGCTTCTTCATGGAGCCAAAGAGAAAATGACATCTGTAAAAGGTGTGTTTGCTTTTAATTTGCAGTAGGAGAGCTTTTATTGTAAGTGTTTAGAAAGTCCTACAGACTGCTGGTAGAGCTTGCTACACCCATCTGGCTGCAGTCCAATGAAGTCTACACAGACCATTCCCCTCGGAACACAGTACGGATACATGTCTCCAGTCAGGTGGAAGAACTTTCTCCTTTAACTGTCACATAATGATCTTCTTGTCATGCCTTCATTATTCTAAATTATTAAAATATCAAAGCTCTTGAAATTCTAAGCAAGGGCTGTAAGTAGTCTCTCTTGGGATAAGCAGTTTATTAAAATTTGTCTCCCCATTATAAACTAAATCTTGAGAGTACTAATTTGTTATCTGTCTTAGGTAAATAATTGACAATAAGGAATAAGCAACAAGACTCTGCTTAAATATTTGATGCAATGCCAGGTAAGATACAATTGCTTCAGCTGGAGAAGCTGGGCAAGAATTGAAAAAATAGGAGTAGCTACTGAAAAAAGTAGAAT